GTATATATTGAAAAGAGAAGACCAAAAATAAAAAATTCTCTGGCCATGTTGATAATGTTAAATCCTACAAAAGCAAACTTTTAAAAGGAGGCAGGCTCATAAATATTCCTGGCTTTGGCAATTAAGAGGCCATTGCTGACTTTGGGAGAATGGTTTCCTTGGAACAGAAGGGAAAATCAGGAAGCTGATGGCAATACTTTGAAAAATAAATGGGCCTTGAAGAATTAGAGAATCTACAGAAACAGAAACATTTTTAAAAACTGCAATGTGCAAAGATAGGACATCCTGCAGAGAGTGAAGCAAGGATGAAGAAGGTCTTATTTATTTGTTCAATGGTGACAAGGGATGACAGGCACTGTACACCTGTGATCAGTACCTGGCCGAACTTGTAGGCATGTTGGTCCAGGTACCTCACACTAGTAGAGTCTCCTGGGGATGAATGTGGATTGTGAACATTAGGTATCTGTAAAACTATGGCCAGAAATGTCCTCACTGGACTCTGGACCTTGATGCTCATAGGCAAGTTATGATCTTAGGACCCAGGCCTGGATAACCCATCCTAAGGCAAACATCTAGGGAATCACCAGCATGGTGGCAATGACAATGAGGACCTTCAATTTTTTTCATGAGTAGCCACCTTCCTCTCCCCTTCCCATAGTAGGAAGTAGTGTGAATGAATTTGTTTGTTTGGACAGGCTCTGTGAAATCCAGTCCCACTCTAAGGAGCAAGTTTGAGATGTGTGTTAGGAAATTAGAGCATCGATTGAGCACAGACATTAGTTACTATTACAAATCAAATGTAAGGTAAAGATAGGACAGTTTTTAGTGAGTGCCTATATGACAAGGATATGCTACATGTTAAATATAAGTGTATTTAACTCACAGAAACTTGTGCGAATATCCAGTAGACCTAGGTAGTACTATCTTCCACCTGAGAAAACACTCAAAGAGTTCAAATCCGTTTAGTGACACTTACTAGCCCTTACTATTTTCTAAGCACCCTCTGCTAAAAGACTTGCATAGATTATTTAATCCTTACAAAAATTCTAAACAGTAGGCACTATTCTCCTTCTCTATTCACTAAGAAAATGAAAATAAGGAGGCCAAGTAGTGAATAAAAAGTCATTCAAGTAGTGCAGGCAGTACCTGAAGTTCAAGTTAAGCCATTATTTTTTTCTCCAAAGCTGATACTCTTGAGACTGAAAAGATGGAAACTGAAGTTTAATTCAAGCTTTGAATGAGAGGAACTTTTATATGTCACAAATTGGGAAAGGTATAAGGTTTTTTTACAGTCCTATAGTGTGTGAATCAGACTGAAGGTCAGTTTCCGAGGCAGGAGCGCTTGGTTGTGTCCAGTACAGTAGCCCCACCCCCATCCACAGTTTTGCTTCCTATGGTTTCAGTTACCCACAGTCAATTGCAGTATGAAAATATTAAGTGAAAAATTTCAAAAGTAAAGTTTCACGTAACCTTTGTTTCGTAGTATAATTGTATTATTTTATTGTTATTCTTGTTAATCATTTTGTATAATTTATAAATTAAAGTTTATCATAGGTGTGTATGCACAGGGAAACCATAGTATATATAGAGTTCTGGAGTATCTACAATTTCAGGGATCCACCAGAGGTCTTGGAACGTATCCCATGCTGATAAGGGGGACTACTGTATTTCCCCAAATGTCCCATCATGGAATATATTTCAAGAAATCACTTGCTGAATTTTCATCTTTTAAATTTCCAATAACAGCTACTACTGACATTAAGTTTTCTAAATATACTATATTGAGCAAAATAGTCAAGTATTTTAGTTTTATTTCTTATAAGAAAAACTGTCAAGTTATTTTATCATTATAATTTTTTATTTTCTCTTATTTTTATATTTCTATGTGTAAATAGATGTTAGTGTGCCAACTCTGTTTATAATTTAAAATTTATGTGGTTTTGTGCATCTACAACTAGCACATGGTAGACATTTAATAGTTGCTACTGAGTAGAGGCAATTTAATTTCTGTGCCTCTAATTTCATGTATGACCATTAAAACGTATGCATGTGATTATCAAAGTTTATTTCCTATAGTATAACTCCCACTATACTATAGTATAGTATTGAGATCCTCCACGTTATCTAATCTTATTCGAGCTTTATAATTCTACTGTATTTCTCAGTGAGACATACAGTGAACATGTTTTTTATTATATGTGGTAACGAGGGTTATCGCTTGTAGATAAGGTTATTGTGGGATTCAGCTTACCCATTCTGTGCAGCATTCTTCCTCCTTTCCTAAACTTTTTTTTTATTAAATCATAGCTGTGTACATTAATGCAATCATTGGGTACAGTGTGGTGTTTTCATATACAACTTGAAATATTTTCATTCAACTGGTTAACATAGCCTTCATGTCATTTTCTTAGTTATTGTGTTAAGATGTTTATATTCCACTCTTAGAAAGATTCACTTGTACCCTTGTAAGATAAATCTCCAATATTGATATTGCAGGAAGGAATTGTTTCATCAGAGATCCTCAACCCTCTCCCGATTCGGGTTTTCCAAGCAGCTCCTGCCTTCAGTTTACCTAGACAGATAATATGGGATGAAGGGATCCCACATTTGCTAACATCTTAAGGGGTCTAGCTGTAGCCTCCACTCTGGGCTAATGCCTTAGAGATGCAGCACAAGACACTTCTTGCCCACAATTTCCCCTTACTGACTGAAGCCCAGGTTTACATTGACCATAGATAACAGAGGATTTTGCAACCCTGACAGCAAGCTTGACTCTGTAAAATTCTGCTTTGGGCTCTTTAATTATCCTGAAGCTAGAACACAGTGAATCCTGGGACTGTAGACTGTAATTGGACAGGATATCACAGTATGACTAACAATAATGACAATCGTGTTTCCCACCCAACTCAGGACTCTGGCCCCTGAGGCTTAGGTGCTGGAGGAAAGAAAAGCACACATCTATGGTCCTAGAATACTGCTCTTCTCATTCTACCTGCTTCGCCCCACAGGCTCTTACTCCTCCCTGGAACCAAACATGAGCCCCTGACCTCACAAAAACAGATCAACATCTTGACACTACAGGAAAACAAAGAGCAAATCACAGCCAGGCCCAGTGGCTCAAGCCTGTAATCCCAGCATTTGGGCGGTCAAGGCAGGTGGATTGCCTGAGCTCACAGGTTCAAGACCAGCCTGAGCAAGAGCAAGACCCTGTCTCTCAAAAATAGTCCCAGCTACTTGGGAGGCTGAGGCTCAAACTTTAGCTCAATCCCAAGAGTTTGAGCTATGACACCACAGCATGCTACCAAGGGTGACAAAGTAAGACTCTGTCTCAAAAAAAAAAAAAAGAAAAGAAAAGAAAAGAAAAATGAGCAAACCATGTACTGGGTTCATTGATGAGAAGAGAAGCCCCAGTAATACGGACATCACTGACATCCACATCTTCCAGCTCTCCAGGCTCACAAAGCATCACAACACAATTAAAACACAATGTCTATCTCAGAGATGTCCTCACCCCCCACTCCCCAGGGAGGAGACTCAGCTGTTCCTCAATCCCAGACTTAACTGACCTCTAAGACTAACTCTGAATGTTTAGTTTAGTTTCTCCTTAAGAAACTTTCCCAATGTGCTCCTACTCTACCATCTTTTTCAACAGCTTTTGTCCTGCTACATGGTTGCATTTAGCCATTGGTACTCCTGGTCATGCTCTGCCTGCCTACACGATGAGTCATATCACTAACAAGTCAGAAGTTTACAGGAGAGGTGATCAAATAGATTGGGGAAGTGCTGACAATTTTCACTGAGACACAGAGAACATAGAATTCAAAATAGGAATGGGCAAGGTGCTATACTATATTTGGATATGCTGAGGCAGAGATTCCTCTGGGACATCTAAAGGGAAGACCAATGAGCTATGCAATATACATTTAGACTCAGGAAATTAGGAAGCATGAGTGTAGAAAAGCCAGAGCTGTGGAAACGGTCAAACCCTCTGAGAAATGAATAATAAAAGAATTGGCATAATAAACTCTTAGGAAGCACAACTCTATAAGACAATGGACAAGAAAATGTATTAATATTAAATGTAGTAGAATTAAGTATAGTAATATTAAAGAAAGCATCTTTAATAAACAGAGGTCAAATTCTGTAGAAAAATGTGGAAAGATAAGTAATGAGAAACAGCTGAGAAGCTCTATACCTTACTGGGGGTAAGTTCCTGGCTGCAGAGGATTATAAAACATCACTACTGGAAGGGAGACACCTCTGAGATATTCAGAAGCAAAAGGATAAAATTTGTTAGCTGATAAGGCAGCAGAGTTGAACATTTTGTAAAAGAAACTTGAATAGAATAGGATGGTGCTTCAGAAGCAGTCAAGGTTCACTTCAAAGAGCAAGATCCTGGCTTAAGCTGGTGTCAGAAGAAAAAGCCTCACTGAGAAGGAAGTTGGGTATCTTTTCTGCAATATCAAGAGACTGGACCTATGGACAGAGAAACATGAAGGTGAAAGAATAATAAGCAGCTTTAAGAGACCATAAGGAAAGTTGTGACTTCATGGTCAGGATTCCTGCATGTCACTCTGGAGCTAGAATAGAGGTGGCCCATGATGATATTGATAATGCTGGTGGAAACACACTTGCTGACTAAGCATGAGTACAGATACCAAACAAACTCGGATTTCCCACCCCACGTTTAAAATTTTAAAAGACTCTGAGGTTAGAAGCATGAGAATAAGCGACACCCAATCCCAAGACCATATAACATAATCATTTGCTCTGTAAGTAACATTCCCTTTGCCTCCCATCCCCAAATTTACATCACACGTGAGATCCAAGCAACCTTTTTAATGTAGAACAGGCTTAGACAGTTAGAGTGGGGCTGTCCAAATGTGCACATGATCTGAGTAGAAGGAATTTTCAAAATAAGCTACTTCCCTTCCCTCCCTTCTCGCCTCCTTTTTTCCCCTCTCCATAGGATGGTGGATTGTAAGCATCACTGGAGGAATCTAGGCCTGTGGAGGCTCTATTCCTAGCAGCCTCTCAATAGCAGCATGGATGTCCCCACCTGTAGCCTTCAGGGCCTGCAAGTTGGCATCACGATCAGCAAAGCCCATGGCCTGCAGCTGCTCCAGTTGTTGCTGGTAGCGACCTTCAGCAAGGAGGGATGAGGATAGGGAGGATTGGGTAGTCTGAGAACAGGTGTTGGCCAGTGCATGGAGGAGCTGAAGAACAGCTGAGGAGGATTGTCCACGATCCACTCTATGACCTTGTCTTCTGCCTCTAATTTCATGAACTCCTCTGGCTCCACGGGGTCTGTCTGGGTGCCATAAGAAGAGTCCAAGCCCAGGCACCTCCTTGGACAGTATCTGTAGACCTTGTTCTATCTGTATCAATGCCTGCAGTGCTCGTGGGTTGGTGAGGATAGGAAGTAGTGGCAGGTGATGTCTCAGGGGGCTTCCAGTTTCCACCTGACGTAGCAGAGCTGGATTCTGCTGCAGGAATTGTAAGGCTCTACGCAAAACAGAGGGTGAAGTTCTCAGCTGACTGGTTACAGTGGCCTTATCTGTGGGATGCTGGCAATCCTGGGAGGGAAGATGTCCTGAGCATGAATCTGGCATACCAGTCTTGCACCCGGCATTGGCCTGATTTGAGGCCATACCCTTGACCTGGGCAGTTACTCCTGCACTGACCTCTTGTACCAATGGCTTGGCAGGTACAGGAGTGGTGAGGGTGGTGGTAGTGGTGTCAGTACTATTGTGTGCATTGGCTTTCCCCCTGCAAGACTCTGAACTTGAGATGTAGTCTTTGGAAGCAACCAATAAGGCCATAGTGGAGAGCATAAGTTTCTGTATGTCAGAACAGACTGGACGCATGGCATTATCACCACCTGGCACTACCTTCAAGGCCTCCAGCCTCCGTTTGTCTGCCTGCAAGAGCTCCTGTTGCTGGATTGAGTTCTGTAAGGTTTCCAGAGCCTTGAGAGCTGGCTCAAGTTTTTGTACTGGCCTTGAGGATTCAGGAACATGGCTAGCATTGGCGGGTTTTTCACTTGCCAGGCCTTGAATCCCAGGGTCTTCCAGGAACTGCACCACAGATTCTGGTGCAGCCGTCAGAAGCTGAGCCAACTGGCCAAAGAAGTCAGCTAGATCAGGTGAGCTCCTTACAAGCTGGCCCAGCCTCGTTAGCATCCCAGCACCCTCAGTGGCTGATGGTTCAGAACGATGGGTGTAGTGGCCTCTTTTCACCACCACGTGGACTGTACTGCCATCAAGGATGCCACACTGGCTCAGTATGTCTTTGTCCCGGAGCATCTTTCCAGTGAAGATGAGCACTAGTTGGTCACTGTTACATTGAAGGCGTGTGGAGATCTTCTTCTTAAAGTGGTGGATGCTGCTGTTTTCTGCCAACATAAATTCCTGGCAGTCCTGTGGAGTCTTAACAGAGACTCTGATGATGCGTGATGATGGCTCCCGACCAGATACCAGCTGGCTGTCCCCTGCTTCTTCTCTAGCCCGTGCCATACTTCCTTGAGAGCAGAATGCAGGGCTACCTGAGGACACTGTGGGGCACAGACGTACAGAAGCCCAGATGTGGCCCTGAGCACGCCCGTGTGCAGGGACCTGTAGGTGTGCAGTGATGTCTTCTCACCCACTTCTTATAGATGCTACCTCCCCACTGTAGCCCTGAAGCCACCTGGCTCCCATGGGGTGGCAGCTGCTCTTCCCCTGGGCCAGACATGATGTCAGTGATGAGGTCACAGTTGAAAGGTAGAACTGAATGGGGGAAGGGCAGGAGTTCTACCACCTGCCTGAGGTTGAGCTCTTTTTATGATTTTATTAAACAGAAGTAGAAACAAAACTAAACGTGTCTATATAGAAATATGTTTCACTCCATACTATTCCACTATTGAAATGCTACCATTTGAGTCTGAGAAATAAATACAACTGAATGAAAGACTATCATCTAGTTTAGAAGTACTTAGTTTAGTCACTTATCTTCTACTGAATTGCTGTACAGTGACCATGGCTCAGCCAAGGCCTCAAGTCTCTGTCTCTGTGTGAACTGAATAAAGGTATCTATAATAAGTTCATCTAGTCTCACCATAGTCTGTAAGCAGATTGTACTTCTGAGGCCCTCAGAAGTCACATACAAGGTTCTAAAACAATTTACCATTTTCCCTATGAACTTGTAAAGAAGGTTGCTCTCAGAGAAATAAACTATGATCTCAACTAGGAAGATCAGAGCTGAGATATGTGAAATCATAAGAAAGTAACAGTTTGACTCTAGTCTGTAGGACTTAACAACTGTTATATTTAAAGTATTAATATATTTGAAAATGAAACATGTCACTTGGGAGAGGACATATTTTGCTGTAAAAGAATGAAATAGCCTTTTAGACACTGTTTTCTTTTTGTTATTGTTGTTATTTTTTATACAGAATATCACTTTGTTGCCCCCAGTAACATAGCTATGGCATCATAGCTCACAGCAACCTCAAACTCTTAGGCTCAAGTGATCCTCTTGCCTCAGCCTCCCAAGTAGCTCAGACTACAGGCACCCACCACAACACCCGGCCCAGCAATATTTAGAGACCAGGTCTCACTCTAGCTCAGGCAATCCACTGGCCTCAGCCTCCCATAGTGCTAGGATTACAGGTATGATCCACTGTGCCCAGGCTTAGACATTTTTTTGACCTCTTCAGGCCAGAAGTCCCTCCAGTAAAGTTTGTTCTCTGCAACAATCATGTAGTTGAGGCATCAGGCTGTATAACCATAAGAGTTTATACGATTATTATTGCCATTATATACTTGACCCCTTTTTTTGATTCTAGAATTTCCAGGAACTACACAGTTAGGATTAGGCTTTCCAGACTGCCACCTCCAGAAGATTTTCCTAGACATGGGGAACATGAGCATCTGGACTCATGTTTATTCTATAGTGATATAAGTTTTTAAACTTTAATTAATTTGACTGAGTATCTCCAGTGTCTGACCAAAGGCCAATTCTTGACAAGTTGTGATTTCCAAGTTTCAAAGAATTTTCCAGTCCCTAGGAATTTTGTAGAATAAGCATCATGGCTGACTAGCTGGCAGCCAAACTACTGGGCCTCTCCTGATAATATCTAGACTTCAGCACTATTTCTAGCATGCAGCTATTCATTACCAGCAAAACTAATTCTTTTGTGGATCCTTTTGGGCTATCTCCAGTATAATCAGATATTCAAATTAATGTTTCTGGCCTTCACTTAGTGAATACATTTCTGTGTAACAGGGAATAAAGAACATTCTAGGCAATATTTATTCAGAACCACTTTTGCATATCTCAAGGTTTCAGATATAATTTTTTCCTCATGGACTTCAAGGTGAACCATCCATTTGTCTCCTCCTGTATAGGCTCTATTGTCAGCACCTGACTGTCTCCTTCCCCAGTATCAGATGACAGTCCTTCCCAGTCTATTTACTTACTTTTTTCTCACAACAGGAGCCCATACTGCTTCAACATAGAACCATTCTTTTTCTTTATGAAGAAGCTGATATTTTTTAAATATTTTAAAAAGAGAGCTTGGACTTTCTGAAGTGTAATAACTCTGGTTTAAATCCTACTGTCACCACTTCATAACCTTCAACAAACCATTTACCCTTTTTGAGACTGGGTGCCAACATCTCTAAAATGATGATGGAGATTAAGGGAAAATATTCAGATATAGTGCAATCCAAGCTGCTTGGCACAAAGCAGATGTTTACTAAATATTGAGTACTATTTTAATATATAAGTCATTGCTAGTTTTGGGTATCTCTTGTGGTCATGTTTGTAACTGGATTGGGAAGGAGAGAAGAGAATGGATCTGTCAGGATTGACCAAGTTTTCAGGTACATATTTAATAGCAGGTGATATAGAAAATTCCAGACATATTGGTGGAGGAGATATGATGTCCATAAAATCTTCTGTCAGGAGTGGTATCAACAAGATAATGAAATAGGAGTTTCCAGCCTCTCCCTCCTCCCCCCCCCATAAGAAACACCAATTTTGGCAACTATCCAAGCACAAAAATGCATTTGTGGGAGCTCTGGCATCCAGATGAGAAATTCTAGCACCCCAGTGGAGAAAGAAATCCCAAAGTGAACACACTGAAGAAAGTAAGAAGAAAAATCTCACATTACTTGTGTTATCTTTTCCCCAGGGAAGCTCTGCTTGGTGCTGCAAGAGATTCCCTTGGCTCATGATTTCTCCTACAGGGAAGAAAGTCAAGTGCTTGGCTTCTCCTGACCATGTGACAATGCCAGGAAACCCACTTCTGTCTTTCCCACCCAGAACACTGAGAGAATTGGCATAGCTCAGTAGCCTGGGGACATCTAGAAGCAGGAACAAGGGGGCAGGGATCTCATAGCAATTGGTGTACAGATCTCAAAATCTGACCATAGGTCTTGGACTCCACCAAGAGGCTCACCCACAAACTTCAAAGGACTATTGCCTGCAAACCCCTCAAGCTTACAAATATTCACCCTCAAAACCCTGCACATCCCCTATGGCTAGCACCCTGTGCAGTCCCATGGATAAAGTACATGAAGCCCTACATACAACACTCAGATAGCAGTCAAACTGGAGAAGACACATTATCTTGAGCACTTCAAGGCACTACTCTAAGGAATATAAATGGGGGTCTCCTATCACCTGGACTGGCCTTGAAGGATCAAGAGAAGGCATATAATCCTATGACTTTCCCCCTAAAAGGAAACAAAATAGTGTGGTTGGCACAACTATGGAAAAGATCTGAGGGATCTTGAGAATCTCTAACCAGATTCACTAATGAAGATTTTTTGTCTTTAGAGGAGATGATTTCTTTAAATATGAAGTCAGCAACACAAGGCTAAAGAAACATAAAAGATCACAAAATGATGAAACCACCAAAGAAACAAAGTAAAACTCCAATGGCAGACCCCAAAGAAATGGAGATCTATGAATTGCCTGACAAAGAGTTTAAAATAATCATCTTATGTATAGAGAGCTAAAAGACTACAAAAATAGACAAATACACAAAATCAGAATGACAATATATGAACAAAATAAAAAGTTTAACAAAGAAAAAAACTAAGAAAGAAAAAAAAGGAAATTTCTAGAGTTGAATAATACAAAGTCTGAGTTTAAAAATTCAACACAAAGCTTCAAAAACAGGCTCCATTAAGCAGAAGAAAGAATTAGCAAACTCAAAAATAAATCATTTGAAATTATCCATCAGAGGAACAATAGTTTTTTAAAAGGATAAAAAAGAGAGAAGAAATCCTAGGGTAATTATAGAACACCATGAAGCAAAGCAGTATGCACATTATGAGTTCCAGGAGCAGAAAATAGAAAGAGATAAAAGCTTATTTAAAGAAATAATGACTCCCTCCCCCCAAAATGCTCTTTCTAAATCTGGGGAGGAAAATGAATATCCCCATCCATAAAGGCCTCCACACCCTCCAAAAGAAACCCCCACAAATATTGAAGATATAAAAGTCTTCACTGAGATATATTATAATCAAATTATCAAAAGTCAAAAACAAAGTGAATTTTGAAAGCAGTAAGAAAAAGCTCCACATACAAAGACTATTATCTCATACAAGGGAACTCGCATAAGACTATTGGATTACTCAGCAGAAACTTTACAGGCCAGAAAATAGCAAGATCATATATTCAGAGCACTAAAAGGATGAAACAAAACTAGGGATTTTATACCTGGCAAAGCTCTCCTTCAGAAATGACGGGAGGTAAGAACTTTCCCAGACAGATAAAAATTGATGGATTTCATCACCACTAAAACTGCCTTATAAAAAATGCTAAATGGAGTTCTTTAAGTTGAATTGAAAGTACTCTAATTAGCAACATGGACACATATGTAAGTACAAAATTTACTAGCAAAGGTAAGTACATACTTAATGTCAGAATATTCTAATGTTACAATGATGGTATATAAATCATTTTTAATTTTTGTATAAAAGTTGAAAGACAGAAGTTTTAAAAAATATCTATAACTACAATAATTTACTAATGGATATACAATATATAAAGATGCAAATTATGACATTAATAATATTAAATGTGTAGGGGGGGAGAAGTAACATGTAGAGGCTTTGCAAGCATTTGAAGTCAAGTGAACATCCTAAAATAGACTGATTTAAGATGTTTTAAGCAAGCTTCATGGTGATCACAAAGAAAAAACCTATAAGATACTCAAAAGACAAAGAGAACTAAATCAATATATACCACTAGAAAAAACCCTCAAATCACAAACAAGACAACAGAAGAGGAAATAAGGAAGAGTAGAGGAGCTACAACACAGTGAGAAAACAATTAACAAAATGACAATTCTATGTCCTTACCTATCAATACCTTTAAATTAAATTAATTAAGTTCTCCAATCAAAAGACATAAAGTGACATGAATAAAACAAGATCAAACTATATACTGCCTGCAAGAGACTCACTTTAGCTTTAAAGACACACATATACTGAAAGTATATGTGACCACTGCTGTTCTCTTG